TTAGTAGCTTACTCCAATTGTACAGGATGCAATGTCAGTGTTTACCCTAACGTAGATAGTTTTATCCACGTATTTATGCAAGATTTGTGACATGAAGTAACTTTAAATGAAGACTATCAGTGACCAGCATACCATGCGATCATGTGGGCCGAGTTGGAGTGTGTTGATGACACCAACACCATCGCACGAGTCAACATGAAGGCGCACATAAGAGTGAAAAGTACACTCGGCAGAGTGAGATACTCGGTTTGACCTCTGAGGGTTTGAATTTAAGGATTTTTGGAATATCCGCATATTTTCAACCGGAAACTTTGTCTTGACAAATCGTAGAGTTATTATCCTCGACAGGATAACGAGTGCTCACTTGAAGTACTCACTTGGTGTATCTCTAAAAGTATTTCCTCGAGGAACTCGCTTAAGAAACTAACATGACGCAGTCAATCGTTTTTACAGAGGATTGTGTGAATCTGTATAATAACTGTACTAAAGCAGCTACATTCATGCCGTATGCTTCCCTTGTGGCTTCTACCTAGTCATACAACTCAATACACACTCAAATAATAATGAAAGTCATTTCTCACTCTTCTATACTGAAATTGTTCATTACCTTTCAATAGACGTTATTTGACAACTTACTATTGTTTGTTTCGTATATCCAATCAGAAGAAAACAAGAAGCTGGTTGGGGTTTCATCAGAAGGGCCGTACATGGAAAACCTTGGCACGGACGCCGAAGAGAGCTGGGCTGTGTCCGGCAGCAACAGCATCGTGCATCAGGTGGCCCAAATGAGGGCGGATGAACGATAATCAGAGGCGGCGATCCATCGTGGCCTGGGACTGCTATGTCCCAAAGAAATACTAAGGATACTAAGAGCTCATCAAACTGGGGTAAGAATCTAATAATAAGATTGATTTATTTTGTATCCTATTTGTGTTGTGAGGTGTTGCGTAGGAATGCCTAGGAGAACACATATGAATTCGACTACCGCGCGAAGTAGTACTCTAATATTTAAATATGGTTGATAATTAACCTCCATCTACCATCACTCCATCCAGAGGCCCTGACAAGTCTAACCCCTCTCCACCCCCTACCAAGCTATGCGGGGAAATATACGGGATGGGGCCTATTCAACAGTGTATAGAAGTCAATGCGGTGGTATAGGCTATGCGGGGTGGGATGAATGTTGCTTTTGTCGTGACGGGCCTCGTTGAGTGCCTATTGTTACTGCCTGCATGTCAGTGTAAAAATTGTCGTGCAGTTTGTATGGTAGATGTCATTAGTGTAACATGGCTACACTGGAGTGGCTACTTTTAATGCAAGATATGTGCATTATTCACTATCTTAAGGGGAGCGTCTACCCTAAAATTTTGGATTTTGGCTTCTCCGGTTTTTAGTCTCATCCCAAAGCTGACATTCTGACCTATCCAACGGTACTAAAACAGTCTCTGTACGTTGATTTATGCGTTCGCAACAGATCATGAAAGGGAGGGGGTTGGGGAGTTCTTTATTAAATAGAATGGGAGGGAATTCGCTGTGAGCACTTTAAATAGAGTGTCTGCTTGAGGTGCACCTTAGTTACCCACCTGGCATCGTATGAGGAGGTGCGCATGCAGTCGCTCCCACCATCCTTGACTGGAATCAAGCTCCAGTAACATTTAGTTTTGTATCCTTGGTACATTGAGTGCCTATTCCGATGCGCGCGGGACTTTGACGGGCTCTACTGAAAAGTTAACTTATTGTCACTGCAAACCTATCTCCTCCTAGAGTTTTTAAGCTACAACAATGAGACATATAC